TATATATATATATATATATATATATATATATATATATATATATATATACGATATAACGCGGGTTATCCGGACGATAGCGTGTCTAATTCATAATGGATCCTTTCCAAACTCAACATACTTCATTTTTAGACGAATACCAAGGCCAAGTTCAAAGATGAGCTTAATCTGTCAAGTATAGTTCAGAAATTACAGGGTTTCAAAATTTTCAAAATCCTAAAAATTCATTTTTTGGCTGATTCTTTCGCGCATAACTTTTGAATGAAATAACTTATCGAATTTTTGTAAATTGCATTTTAAAGCTCATTAAACCAGATTTAATTTTCGTACCATTTCATTTTTCTAAAGTTAAAATAACCTATTCGTCTGTAGGTTTCAATGAAATTTTACTCTTGCAGTCATTTCTTCGATTGATTTGTCCAATATATCTCCTATAAATCTATATATATTTTCATCTTTATTTATGAAATCTACTTCCATTTCGACTGCCGAATGGCCTTTTTTTTTTGTAATTCAATCAGCCTTAAAAAATCTTAATCAAGATTTTCAAAATCGGTTGTGTACAACCTTAGCCACTGTAAAGACGTACAAAACAAAAAACATTTTCTGAAAATCGGTTTGGAACGAAAATTGGAACTAAAATAACTGTATAATGATGTAACCGTTTGATCTCACCCAGTCGAAATTTTTTTTTTTCACTGGGCATTCAGTATCAAATGACAAGAACAACGTAATCAATGAACAAAAATCAGAGCAATTGATTGATAAATTCATGGGAGCTGTTACTATAATGACCTTTGCTAAAAAGTTTCATTACACTAACAATCTCACAATTATTTACGCCTAATCTTCATTCACCAATGTTCGATGATTAACTTAATTCCTTTACTATTGTACAAAAATAACCCTGACGAGTAATGATACTCTTGTGGTCGATTTTGATAATAGTGATGATCAATAATTATAATCATGAACATAATTCACTAATTTTGAACTTGACCTTGATTGTAGAGTGTGGAAAGACCTTGCAAAACCCTGAAGGAACATTTGGAACAGCGATTGATGCTCATACATCACTGACCACTAAAAAACATTGTCAATGGAGAATTACAGCATCACATGGTGAAAAAATCGTTCTCTACATTACATCATTAAATATTATAGAAACGTGGCCGAAGTGTCAGACTGATTATTTACAAATCATAGATGGGTACTCGACCATAAACTCTCTCTTAGGTGTGACATTTTGTTACGAAAATATCAAGAAAATATATTCTTTACAATGTTGTACTTACAATATAAATTGATTTTTTCAGCTTCAATTTGTGGAAAGCATAGAATTTTACATCCAATAATTTCTTCCGGTAATCGGATGCTTGTTACATACCGCACAGATAATTTCAATAAAACGTATTATGGTTTCACAGCAAGATACTATAAGATTTGTGGCGGTGACATTGAAATCGAAAATGAGAACCAAAATTATTATTTAGAATCACCAAACTATCCAAGCCCATACAAAGATAACAAGATATGCGTTTGGCATTTAATTTCACCTTTCAATCGGAACATATCTATAAATTTTAATTATTTCAAACTCGAAGAATCTGTCGATTGCGAAAACGATTTTCTTGAAATAAAAAACGGTGATAATTATTATTCATCATCCGTTCGAACTTATTGCGGTAAAGATTCTCCAGGTAAAGTCATTTCGGAAGGAAATAAGTTGGTTATTAAATTTGTCAGCAATCATGAAATTCAAGGTAATGGATTTTCTGCGATTATAACAATGATATAAAGCGAGTAAATACTAAATCAGTAAGCTTATAAAAGTTGTGGATAAATGTTACAAGTTAAAGAATAAACTCTTGTTCAGAAAATCGTCAGCATTTCATTTTATCAGTATATTTCATAAGAATATCACCACTAATAGTTATAGTGTTTAGCAATTGCGTTTGTGCTCATGACGGAACTTTTGAAAAATTTTGCTCTTTCCTGACTCAGTTCGTCGAGCTGATTCAGAAAATACATACATATATATGGAGGATTCCATGTCAAATCGACCACTTTTTGATCCCGAACCCTTTCGATTTAGATAAAACTTTACTATTCTTTTCTACCCTTTGAAAGACATTTTTGAGAATTTTTTAAAATTTTTTTATCCAACCCAAAAAAAGTTATGAATTTTTCAAAAAAATGGGTTTTTTATTTTCAAATTGCCATTAACTTTTATAGGAATTGACTTTTGGATACCTTTTTTTTTTCAAAAATTTTTGATTTTGAATGAACTTTTCGAAAAAATACACGAAAAAAATTTAACATGATCAATTATATCTCTAGCTTCGTTCTTTAGGTCACTAAGTAGTACCGTTCATGTACGCTCTTTATTCCACACATTTCAGCGCAAAAACAAAAGCTCATTGCTGTTAATAGCAACCGCCTTGATTATTGCTCATTACGTTTTTTGTGCGCTTTAAATAAACATCTTAAGTAATCTATTCCACGTATTTTACATTTCTGATAATTATTTTTTCATTTTACAATGAGTAACAAACGTAAAAATGAGAGTGGTCTCTCATTGGAAAGTCTTGAGAAAAAATTGAAGAAATATCAAGACTTAATAAAAATCGAAAAATCATTTAAAAAAGTAAATGATTCTTCTACCAGTGCTTCTTCATCTGAGGGTAATTATTTATGATTTATACTTAATTTTCTTTGGGCACAAAAATTTTTTACAAATTTTGTGTACCTTTTTTCGACTGGGTTGAGATTTAAAATACAAGTAAAATTAGATTTTAATAATCTAACCTTTCACTTTTTGCATCAGGAATTTTTATTATAATTATTTATTTCCTGTTCGCTTATCTTAACCTAGCTCTTATCTTGCTCTTGCAGACTCAGATAATGACGATCAACGTCAAAGTCAATACTCTGAACATGATGTGGTTGTTACAACCAAAGATGCTAAGACGTTAGACGAGTCTCCTAAGTCAGTGGGTTCTGAAGTTCCCAATCTCAGTGATCCGATCTTGAAAATGCTCGGCACCGACAAGCGTCTCCTGAAACACAAGACTTACAATCTTTATCCTGAACTTTCTGCATGTTGGAAAGAGATTGTTTCTTCTGGTCTGAAAAAGGAAGCTAAAACTAAATTGATTGACAGTTATCCCAATAAAGGAAACTGTACTCTGTCAGCTCCTGTTCTTAATCCGGAACTGATTCCAATTCTAAACAAGACCGCTAAATCTCGTGATAAATACTTAACACAAAATCAAGATTTATGCGGTCGTAGCCTCGTCGCTTTGGGACAAGCTATTTCTAATATTTTCAACGATGACAACGGTTCTGTCGATAAAAATGAGTTATTACAACTCCTCTGTGACTCCAGCAGCTTGATGTGTGAGACAATGTTTCAACTGGATAAATCAAGGCGCTCACAGATTTATTCTTGTGTTGATGACAAAAGAAAAACTGTGCTTGAAGATTCAGTCACCGATGAGTTTCTTTTTGGCCAAGATCTTAGCAAGCGCTCAAATTTATCAACTTTATCACCTCATTTAAATCCTTTCAGCCGTAAAAGTATATCTATTTCACAAGATATGATTTTTCGGGATAATAAATATTTCATTGTTACTTATAATCTTTTCTTACAATAAAATTCATTCAAGATGCTTATTCCATCACTGTCTCTACTTAACCCTTTAGAGTCAGAGGATCTTGAAACGTCTACGCGTGAAAGTAGTGGGGAGAGCGCAAATCCGTAGTAAGACCCAAGAGTAGGTCTTCAAGGTTAGAGTATTACGAGTCTAATATTAGACTCTAAAGGGTTAATGTATCATGTGAAATATTAAGCTTAATTTCTTATAGTGATTTAATGACTCTAAAATTATATTATTGTTCGATTAACAATTAGTTTATTTTTAGTAATGACTGATAATCCATCGAATACCATGCCGACGCAACCAATCCCAAATGACATTTATCTTTTTGATCCTAATTAAAGTCTAACATCTTTTTTAACCCTTTAGAGTCTGACCTTGAAATCCTGCTCTTCGGTCTTACTACGGATTTGCGCTCTCTCCACTACTCTCACGCGTAGACGTTTCAAGATCCTCTGACTCTAAAGGGTTAATTGTTTGTAGAAGAAATAAGAAAATATAGCCAAGATATCAAATAAAATTTCATATCTTGGTTTAAATTAATTTTTTATCATTCCGAGGCCGAAAATTTGTTTCCCAACCTTCTTTTGCGTGAAGAAACAGACGAATTTCAGACCTATCACAATTAGTGACATTTAAAATCACGCATGTTTTTTGTTTCAACTTTCTTCCCGTGCATTAAATATTATAACCCGTTGCTATAGTAACCAAATATCGAGTAATTAATAGCAGCGTGATACAAGTATAAGTGAAGTGATGATAAATAATTGTATTATTTATAATTTTGTGTGCAGTGATACTATTAAATAAAATTTATTTAGTTTATAAACAAAAATGAGTTCATCTGATTCGTCTGACGATTCGGAGAATGCCGAAGCGCAGAAAGTGCGACGTGATATAGAAGCAGAAGCTCAAGAAATTACAAAAAATCTAGCACCGTCAGAATCAGTTCAAAGATACCGTACTTGCTATGATAATTTCATGAGTTGGAAAAATGCTTACGCAGGAGATGCACTAAATGAAAATGTTTTGTTGGTGTATTTTAAGGATTTGATGGAAACATTGGCACCTAGTACAATCTGGAGCCGCTGGTCAATGTTAATATTATATTACACTACTAGGGCAGAAAGTTTGAGATTTCTACACTGCGCGCCATGGTGCCCGAGGCGACGCCTCTTTTTTCTTTATAGCCGGTCGAAAGTACGTAAATATTATAATGTACTGGATTGAGAAAAAATTGATCCCCGCCCCCGACATTTGCGGCACGAGCGAAGCGAGTGCTGCTGGTCGGGGGGGGGGGGGGCATCTAATAAAAAAAAATCAATGTAGATAATTGACCAATATTTTATTTGAACCGTTTTTAGCTGAAATAAAACTGAAATTTCTGGAATTTAACAAATATAAAAATAAGAAAAAGAGCATTTTAACTGAAAATTAACAATAATTAATGTAAAATGCTGAAAGAGCAGAAAAGCGGGGATCAGGTTTAGATCTGGAGATCTTAATTAAAATACGTAAATTATTAACAAAATAACACTAGGAATTTACTTACAATAAATACATTCAATATTTAATATGTTTAATAGCGGATTGTTTAGATAAAAGCGGATTTATAATACACAGCGTGGTTTGCAAAAGCGAAGCCGGTTGACACGTGGTTGAACACTCTGCCGGCACTGTAAAAGCAGTAATTAAACGCACAAATAACACAATTTATCTGTAACAAACTAAAGCGAATTATTAGCAATTAATTTAAGCAAGTTAAATTATTAAATTAGCGAAATGCGGTTATTTAACAATAAGCGAAATAAAATAGCGGGAAAGCGAAGCGTTAGACTCAATGGCAGTGTAACGAAAAGAAAGTAATAATAGTTCGTCTTCTTCCTCGTGAACTTGAGGAAAGAAGGCTATTGCGCATGTCCAGCGAGAGCGATCAGCCAATAAAGCGGTCGATCCATGGCGTGATCGATAAGCTAATTTTCCATTGGCGGTTAGATTTTGCGGGAACACAGCATGGACAGGTGCGTCTCTCAAAATTGGGAGTCCCCCAGGAGTGACTTAATTGCTACTGGGCCTTGTTCACCGAACAATTAATAATAATTAAATTAAATTTTTGCTACTGCGTACATTTTTTTTCTCATTTTCGCCATGGTTACAAGTATAATAAAAATTATTTATTATATTCCCATGAAATACGCAGTTTTGAAATAAATTAGGTGGATTTTCATCAACAGAAAGACATTTTGATTTTTGTTCATTTACATGATGCTGGGTTCCACTTCCAATAGCTTTGATTTGTTTTCCTTGTGGCGTATTCTCTGATTTTTCTGAGAAAACCGTAACTGGTGGTTTTTTCATAAAGTGCGTAGGTTTTGTTGATCGGTTATTGTGCATTACAAGTATTTTATTGTTGTTAGCTGTTGTGAAAATAGGTGTAGGTGATCTGCAATTAAGTTTAGGTTGTTCTAGATTATTGATTTCAAGTAACTCCTCCTCGTTAATCTCAAATCCATCAGAGAAGTGATCGCATTCCATTTCACCATCTGGAGATGTCTTATCATTCATTGGAATTATCACTTCAGCTTCAATGATGTTTATTGATGAACTTGTTAATGTATGTGGTTTAGTTGGTTGTGGATTAGTTGATGTAGATGGTAGTGGATCAGTTGAAGTCGACGATTGATGATTAGTTCGAGAGAATTCTGATTCATGAGTTATATTCTCATATATTTTTTCCCAATTCTTCATTGAATTTTCCACATACCCTGTTGATTAACGAATTATCTATAAATAAAATTTGCATTTAAAAAAAAAGGGTATTATTTAAATTTTTAAATAAAATTTTGTAATTAAATAAATAAAAAGTAACCTTGAGCGATTGCTGTAGACTTCCAGCCTCCAAGTTGTTTTAACATTGTCTCATTAGCACCCGAGTCAGAGTTGCGCCAGTTCTTCGGAAACAATGTCCGGTGTATAATTTGGGATTAGATAAGTTCAAATGTGAAGCTATAACGCTCGGTGTCTCCCCAATTTTGTTTCTGCCGATTACTTGTTGGTCAAATTTTGCATTCTGATATTTGATGAAAAATCTGTCGGTGAATGATTCTTTGGCTCTCATTTCAATATATTGCTTGACTTT